TCTTTTTTTAGGTATTCCTTCCGTACACACGTGTAGTTCTATGTAACGTCACATTAATAGGTCGCATTTAGTCATTTCAAAACTTCTATTATCAGGAACATCTTTCGGATGCAGTTCAGCGACAACGAAAAAATGTTTCGGTGCCTCAATAATGTAAAATTGGTCTTGCAACAGTTTTTTTTTTTGTATTTATATGAATAGTATTAAAAAATAACCCCTGACGTTGATAGCTTGCGGAAACATCCATTAGTCTTCCCCTAATAACAGATGCAGAAAAAGTAAAGGGCAGAGACAGCTGTCGATATCTCCTCAACTCGCAATTTGAACAAGCAGCCACGTGATCTGGCGCTAATTTTATACCGACAGTGTTCATCAAAGTCATGAACTAGGCGGCTAGGGTTTGGAAAGTAAAAGCTTGGGCTGAGCTTCAGATATTGTTAGAGTTGGGCTATTAATTCTCATATTTAATTAACATTAGCCATTACCCAAATATTTGGCGATGCTGATTGCCATAAACCCGAGCACTCAAACTAGGGGTTATGAAAATCGCTTATGTCACGGTGTCACGTGACTCTCGGAGCGAAATCGTAATGTCATGTTACGTCATGCTGTGAACAAGGTTAATACATCTAATGACTTCCTCAAATTAAATTGAGTTGACGCAGTGAGTCGCGTGACGTCACAAAGTCACGTGACATTACTTGACAACATGTATTGACACCAAAACGTCACGTGACGTTACATACGGTTAAACCTAGTGCCATACAAAGTTGCCACGAAAAGCCACAATTTATCATACATTGCAATTCTCCTTATGACGATTTGATCAATAGATAGAAATACAGCCGCCAATTTTTTATTCCCATATGTTCATTTCGTGATACTAACAAAAAAGAAAAAAATAAATATTACCTTGAACCGTTTTGAACCGGTTACCGTTATATTTCTTTTCGGTTAGGTTCCGGTTCAGTTCCAAGATGGCGGCAAAGATTTCGGTTCGGTTCAGTTCCGGTTCGGCTAAAAATAACGGTTCTGTTCCGGTTTTCGGTTCGGTTCGGTTCCGGTTCGACACCCTGATATGAAGTACCAAAATTATTAGACACAGACTGTGAAGATGCCTTAAAATTGCACAAAGAGAAAAACGCGTTCGAATAACACCGTAGATGTGTTCGCGGCACTTCTTCGGGGCGGGAAAATGAATTTTTTTGTGTACGTATTTTCCGGCGAAATTTACGCTACAAAAGATTGTGATAGAGAGGAGATGTTTACGTACATTTCTAAAAACATCTGTGACGGCAGCGACGTCACAATTTGAAGAGCCGCGCACGCGAATGTGGCTCATATTTATGCCTTTCTGGGTCGCCAGGAGGTCTTCCAATTCGAATTTGACTTACCTCGCAATCATATTCGGTCCCTTTTTTGTTATATATACGCAAAAGTAGGAAGATTGAAGAAGAACACAACTCACTAAAAGCCCCAAAACATTCTTTTTTTTTTTTTGCAAAATCTTGCCGTTTTTTTTTATTTGCATCTCATTACTTCAAACCTGTACTTTTTTAAGCACTTTTTTTTACTGAGTATATGGTTGCACTCTAGTATTTTATCTGGTACTTTCCGTGGACAGTGCAACTCCCCAAATTTTGGTCTTGTTAAATTTGTATCACGAAATGATGCTTCGTTAACAAATAAGTGCCTTATAAGTTGATTGTGTTAAATAGTTCGTCAGCGAGAGTACTACTACTACTACTACTACTCTTTGATCACTTGACCTTACCTAATATTCGCCGCCATTTCCGATAATAAGTAATGCACCACCGATTACCCTATAGGCAATGCCTCCCAGTTAAAAACAAAAAAAGAAAAAAGTGCTGTATAGGACAATAAGGGGGCACCATGAAAGACTGAGTTCAAATGTACTAGTACTTTACCTTGAAAATGCATTGTATTTATAGTACTTTACTTCACGCACATTGTGCTCGGTGTACTTACTATTTCGCTTGAAGTATGCAAAATATTTCTATTAAGCTTTACAGATTTCTTTAAAAAAAAATGTGAAAGCCACACTTATGCGGTTCCTGCAGGTGAATTATACGGCCAGGGGGACATGGGAGAGAGAGCGAATCGTAACGATCAGTCGGCTAATTAAGTAATATTCCTTAATTAACTTTTTAATTAGTGAAATTAGACATGGTTCCAATTAGAAACCTGCTGAGCCTAACGTAAACCCTTAAATCCACTCTTTTTAGGAAGATATAACGCAGGGAGATAATTTTACGGCGTTCCGTAAAAACGATTCATTTGGACGCGTTTCTGGGACTGGAGCGAATCTCTGCGCCTGCGGTCCTGCTCCCCAGTGGTTGAGGCGCGCAACACACGTGCGCCCTACTTCACTCCATCCTACAGAGGAGCCGAGGGGGTGGCTTCGCGCCTCGACCACCAGGGAGCAGGACCGCGGGCGCGAAGATGCACTCAAATAAGAAACCGAAACCTATAAACATGTCCAAACTCAGCCTTTTTTTCTTTTTTTTTTTTCAGAACGCCGTAAAATGCTGTCCTATATCTTCCTAAAAAGAGTTAATTTGGTGGTTTTCGATGATACTTAGCAAGTTTCTAATAGGAACCTTATGTTTATTTTCACTATTTGAAAAGTTAATTTTAAAAAAATGATACTTTTTATTATACATTTTTAACTTGTAAACTTAAAAAAAACACCATGTACAACATCTCATTTACTTTGCACTTTACTTTGGGCAGTGTTGGGAAGTACTGTAAGTACATGGTACTTAAAGTACTACTTTAATGAGAGGATACTTGTGCTTTACTTGAAGTGCATGCTCTGGGTATGTACTTGTACTTTACTGATTTCTTTTTCTACTTTCCAAGGAAAGTACATCCTAACGCCTGCAAAGTACTTTCTTCTTATTTGGTCTTGTTAAAGTTGTATAGCAAAATGATGATCTGTCAACTCTGAAGTCACTTGCTTTATTCAGTATTCGCCGCCATTTCCGAATATACCTGATGGTCCCCCAACTACCCCTAAGGCAACGTATACCAGTTAAAAAAACAAAAAAACTAGGGGGGAATGAAATGACATCATGAAAAATTATTTTAAAAAATACTTGTACTTTACTTTGTAATTACATTGTATTTATATTACTGTACTCCAAGCATGTTGCACCCGATGTACCTTAAAGTACATAACCTCACATTTACTTTGTATGTTACTTGAAGTACTTATTAGATGTACTTCACCCAATACTGACTATAAGTACTTCACCCAATACTGACTATAAGTACTTTTTTTAGATTTACTTTACCCACGCAATCAACTAGGGCAGTGTTGGTAAGAGAGGTATGAAGAGCACAGCAAAAGCTTGGGTGCTCTACACCTTGCTTTACGGAGTATTTTCATGGCTGTGGGATGGATTATGACACGAGGTTAGTTCAAACGGCCAACACAGCAGCTGACGATACTGACGTTATTAAACGAATTTCGAAACTAAAAAGTTGTTAGCAGGAACCTGCAGTTTCGGTTTCGTTTAAACCCACGTTTGAATCATTCGAAGATCTGCTATCTCAAGTGTAACGAATTGTGACAAGGCTTTGAGATAGTTATGCATTTCCCACAATCGTTTTTAATCAAAACCCGGCATGTATCCTGTGTGTAGATATATATCCGTAGAAACAGACAAGATATGTTTTTAACTAAATAATTTGAGAATTTAATATAAACGCTGGAGAAGGTTTTTTTTTTTTTTTTTTTTTCGCTGATTTTAGTTGTGTGCGATTTACATTTTTATCGAGTTGGAGACGAAAAGAAACAATTTCCCGATCTGACGAAATCTCAGTCTGGCATGGCATAACCAATTAACACATGCAACGACACGCTGAGGAAACGAACACCGCCTGCGGATTCTCAGCTGTATCTAACCGCGAACAAAGAAATACGTCTTTTAGCAAACAATGAACGCCTAAAAGTTCCAAACTAACGCATAATATTGAGATGACGCAATTCTACTTGAAAGTGTTTTATCCCGTAAAAGCTTTCTTCCGTTTCTTATTAGCGCGAATTCTGCTGCTGAAGGTCCATGTACAAGTAACCCGGGGCAGCGAGAATGACAACTCATGTAACGACTCCTGATAATGTCAGGAATTATTCCACAACGGCCGTTCCGCACTTTGCACTGGTCATTCAAGCACTACGTTTTATCATCCTTGGCGTAATTCTTTTCCTCAATATTTTTTTTTTCTTTTCCAAAGGAAAAAAAAAAAATGAAAGAGGAAATATACTAGGAAGTAATGGTATACGTGCAACGACTTTGCGTTTGCCCTAAATAAAAAAATTGGCAAAAAAAAAAGGAGGAAGAGGGTGTTTTGTCGGAGTCATGTGTTTCATACCAGAGAGCTCCTATCAGCGATGCCACAGATGATCGCCCCAGCGTGCGATAGACCGATCGCGGACTACGCATCTGCCATGAACGGAAGTCCGCATTAGCTCCTTTTGAGCACATGCCGGGGGAAAAAACGCACGGTCCCATACAAACATGGAAATGTTTTGAGTTTGTGAATCACGTGCCTGGAGCTTGAGAAATGACAACAGCGTTTATTTACACAGCGTGTGGGCTGGCGTCGCCTATATTGTTTGTTCTGTGGTTTTATTTTAGCGACGCTCTGATATGCGAGCTAGCATCACCATATCTGGGATTACAGAGTGCGAATGAATTCAAAGTTTTCGTTGAGTTACTTTTAAATGTACCGGTCGGAAAAGAGCTACCGCCTCTATCTGACAAGCAGACGACAGGCCCCCGAAAACTTGCCGCGAATTCGCGCGTCGTCTGCGACACCGAGCCACGGCTGAAGCCGGGAGGCAAAAGGAAAGCGACAAAATAAATAGAAGGCAGAGCCCAAGTCATCACGTCCTCGCAGACCGTCTCTTGTTTTCGTCTGCTTTTTCCGGAGCGCACCAATTTCGGCACGTGCGTCGTCCCCGCCTTGCTCACCTGCAACACTGTCGTGCCGGCCTCTTCCTCGCAGTAGCGTCGCCGTACCCACGCACACGGCGACAAGCAGGCAGATCAGCGAACCGAGCCAGCACGCGGGTTGACAACGCGACGACATCGCGTGAACCGCGTAGACCGACGCCAGGCAACGAACGCGCCACTGAAACGAGGGAAGGCGAACGAGCTCGACGAGCTCAGCGGCTCAGCGGCCGGCGGCGGGACGCGCCGACGCCACCGACGCCGGCGCGACGCGAGAGAGAAACCTGTCAACCGGCGCAGAGCTCGGCCAACCCAGATTCAAAGGGGGAGGGGCTCAACTGCGCCGCGACCAATCGCGGTTTGCGTTTTCCGAGCAGATGAGGTCTAACAATGGCGACCGTGACGTCACACGCTCGCGGTCCCGCCGAGACACCTGTCGGCGGCGGCGGACGCGCGGGCGCCCGCCGCGCGTGGCGCCGCCGTCAATCAAGCGGCGCGGTGGGTAAACAGTTTCGGTTTCACGAGTCGCCGCCTGGCCGGAGCCATGGCGGCTGCGAGCGTTCGAATGGCGGCGGGGCTCATTACCAAGGGGGGTGCGGGGTCGGCGGCGACGGTCTTTTGCGGCCAATCTCCTCGCTCCTTCGCCACCGCTCGTTCTCACGCGGGGCCAAGTTCACTCATCCTCTCAGCGGGGCGACTGCTGCACGCCGAAATAAACGAGTGCCCCCTCATGCCCGCCCCAGACGCGATGCACGATGCTGCGGTGAGGTCCAGACGAAGTTGCCGGCCGCTCCGACGCCTGGCCTATTTGCCGCCCATGTGTGCAGCAGCATCGGGGAGCAGACGGACTGCCGCAAAAGAAAAGCAGACGAGAAAACCGTTGCGGCACGAAGAAGTCCTTCCAGGCGGAGCTGCGCAGATTGAAGCTATTAGCTTTGGCTTCCGTGGCTCTATTCGGGTCACTAGGCAACACCGATTTACAATAAACGTACAACGAATTGGAAATTTCCGGTGCAAACGTTAAAGATAACAACTTTAGTTTTGTTTTGCTGGAACGTAGCACGCGTAGCACACACATCACGCGGTCCGGGATTCAAGGGTGGCTGGTTTATGTGTTTCTGTTGTGGGCTGCATGACCCCAAAACTTTGTAAACTATTCCCCCCTAGATAGTGCCCAATATCATCTCAACTTTCGTTAACAGCTCAGAAGAACATGCGAACCAAAAAAGGAAACACTCCATAAACCAAAGCAAGGCACTGGCGTCAAGCTGCCGTGGTGGCGCTGATGTCAGCTTGGCGCACGCGCGGTGCTGGCAAACGTGGCATTGTTTGCAAACAACGCCCCATCGACAACAAAATTGCTGATGCCTCATTATCTCTCTTGTGTGAGAATTTATTTTTTGTGCCAATATTTCTATTTGACAGTGTCCCTCTCCCTTTTAAAATACATACCAACACACGTTAGTCATAAAAAAATAAGAAGATCACAGAAAGGTTATGGCACCATGAGAATCTGAAGTGAATTTTTCAGCCATCACCAGTAAAATGCAGAGGCACGCGAAAACAGAATGTGGAGACTGAAGATTCAAAAGCAACGGATGTCGCAAGTGAGAGCACACGATTTCCGCACTTTTGTGCGATTCGCATTTAAAGAGAGTTGAATGAGAATCATACCCATGCAGGGGCGGATCCAGGGGGGGGGGGGGGGGGGACCCCCCCCCCCTTTTTTTTTTTTTAGCCAGCCAGCTAAAAAAAGCTTTATTGTTCCTCTCTCAAAAAAGGCAAAGGTTTGATACAATTTATCACAACATAATTGCGGTCAATCTGTGTCGGCGCCTGTAGCACTTTCCCCAGCCAATAAGCATTTAATGGGTGAGGGAAGTAGGAGGAGAGGGGGGGGGGGGGAGAGAGAGCAGGGAGTGATGCCCGGCTTCCGCGGTCGAATGATGGGTCTATCCCCCCCCCCCCTTTCCCGGGTCCTTGCTGGACCCCCCCCCCCCCCCCCCCCCCCTTAAACAAAACCTGGATCCGCCCCTGCCATTTGTGTGTGTGTAATCACTGTTGTGCTAGCGGCGGTACTATATACTGGCTAAATTTCTCATTCACAGTAGAGACCAGGCACGTAGCCAGGATTTTGTTTCGGGGGGTGGGCGGTGGGGGGGGGGGGGGGGGGGGGGGGCGCCCATGGCAAAATGCTGTATGAAAGGGAGGGCGGAGAGAGGGTCCCAACAAAATGGAAGATTTCGTGGGGTGAAAACTCCGGGCCCCCGCCCCCCCCCCCCCCCCCCCCCATGCCCCCCCCTCCCCCTGGCTACCTGCCTGGTAGAGACACTAGACGCCTTTTCGGGCTTACTATAACTTTCCACTGTCTAAACATACACAAATAACACAATTGTTACATTAAACCTTGTTCACCCTCGGTTTCGTTAAATACTGTTGCGAGGCAAGCCCGCTAGCTGCGACTGAAGACAGATAGAAATAATGTGAGGCCGCAAGGAATTCTTTAGCGAGACTCGTGCCTCCAATGTCTATTACCGCCACGCGACTTTGTAATTGTGATGATCGTAATACCCAGCGTATACGCGCTGTGATCTGGATATGGTTAAAGTTCGGCGCTTTCCTTCACTCCACGAACCCGAAACTGTCTGAGCCCGAGCGATCCATGGCAGAACAGCCACTTATGACAGTGGCTACAGGCAACGCTGCAGGACGGCGACTGAAAACTTACCTACAAAATTGTAGGCTTGAGGAGCGTTTCAAAGGGCCGACACTTGGCGTGCCGATATCCCTGCCCCAGAAGCCACCGAGGGCATCAGTGAATGCATGACGTCGTAATCTCGACATTTATCCAGCGATAAAATTCGCAATTGGGAAGAGATATGATCACCATAGCCAAGCTATCTCTAGCCACCAATATTGCATAGCTCTCTTTTTTTCTTTTTTTATTCTGCTAGACCGCGGCAAAGCACTCCTATCGCAAACGAGATTTCCTGCCTTTGCTCAAAACAGAACCTCCAGGAGCGGCAGGCGCGCGAGCTGAAGGGGTATTTTAGCAAAGCGCATACAGGGTGTCCCAAAAAGTATTTACAGGGGTTTTCGCCACCGCAACACTAAACTACGCGTCGCCGAACGCTTATTAGCGAGTTTTAGTAGACCGTGTTTCCCGCTCCGCTAAACCCCTCCGCTACCCGGAACTCTAAAGCCAAAGCCATCGGCGCGCAGGCGCAGTGGCGGTTTCTTCGTAGCGGAGGGCTAGCGGAGCGGGAAACACGGTCTACTAAAACTCCCTATCATATGCCCAAATGTAACGCTAGCCGTACGAACATGCAAATGGCAGCGTTTCAGAACTATAGACGTTCTATATCACATGTTATAAGTGCTTTTCTGAAATTTTAAATGGGAAAATGGCGGCCGACGAAGCGTGGAGTGGAGCTGAATGACGCCGGTTACCAAAAACGGGGAAAATTTCAGTGGCATAACGGGCCCCATTTTCCTATTGAAATTGCTAACACAAGCGTGAACGCGCGTGCATGCGCGCTCACACTTGTATTAGCGAGGGCAGAAAGCTCGCGCTGAAGGCGGAGCTATAGTTTCAGGCCGACGATTAGACTCGAGATTCTGCAAGGCAGAAGATCCTCCTATGTGGGAGGAGGAAGCAGGCAGCGGTGGACAGGGTAGAAGGGGAGAGAGGAGGAAGCGAGGGAAAAGTAGAACTGGTCGTCGGCCTTTAACGGCCTGTTCACACGCGCAGCGGAGAGCTACAAGTAGGAAGCCTTCATGTGCCCTTTGCTAGGGTGATGCCACCCTTTGTAATACCGCTCGCCGACAAACCAGCAGCCATTTTGGTTCTCGGCGATAATCCGGGGGGTTATTAGCGCCGAGATATTTCGGTGGCGCCCTCTTATGGTTTCCCTCCGTGACGTCACGACTCGGATTTGCCTCGCCGTGACGACACCAGTTGTTATTCTGGCTACTTACCATCGGGTGCAACGACGAGTTCGATGGTGTGTTTAAAAAGCCCAGTAGAAGCTACGAGCCATCGCAATCCGAAACTAACACCGTCAAAGTTGACAGTCTGGCAGTGCTCATATGCCCATGGTTTGGCCAATCGTGGAAAGCCGACCACAGCGACGCTTTTGGCCGCGCACATCGCTAATAACCCTCCTGGAAACAAGCACCATATCTCACATGTTCGGAGCAGCGTTGTGGATCCCACGGAGGGAGGATTAGCATTTTCCCCCTCGGATGGAAAGACCGATGGACACAAAGGCCACTTTCTGGCGCATAAGGAAACAATGAGAGGAACAAAATGGCGGTGGAAGGGGGTGTGAAAAAGGGAAACAGGCAGTTGGCCTCACTCTATGCGAAGCGCACATAAAGGCACCCTAGCTATACTCCGTTTCACCTTATGTTGTACCGCAGAGCAGGCTAGAAGCGCGAGCTCATAGCGTTGGAAGCTGCTCTCAACGCACGAGAGCTTGTGCGAGCCGCGGAGACGTGCCCTAGAGCAAGGAGCTCGCGCTCGTAGCCTTTCCTGCGGTACATCATAAGGTGAAAGAGGGTATACAAGCATAGCGCTGACCTCGCGCTAAGCGCGTGCCGAGGGGAGCGTTCACCAGCTTTGTATCGCACCGTCAAAACTGTTGTTCATGCCAGCCCTCTTCGATACTACAAAATGAGCCAATGGGCTACTTGGTAAAAGTGATTATACTTCGTCTCACTTGCTGCACGAGCGCCCGTGCAACCGCCGCGGCTTCATTCAAAGCGACTAGCTCACGCTTTTAGCACGCGCGGCTAACAATAGTCCGTACTAAGGTGAGACGAAGTTATAGTCGTTAGTTGTTTACACAAAAAGAAAATTGGGGTGTGGGGTGGGTATGTTTATAAAGCCTGAATTTAGTCTGCCCCAACGGGCGAATTGTCTCTCAGCTGTAGATGAGAAATTTAGCCAGTGCAGTACAACCGCTACCCTGGGGTATTTAACGTGCACCACGCAGTAGTGATACACGACCGCACGCCAGTACGATGCTAATCCAGATCGAAAGTTGTTTATACAGCAGGAGTTTAGTCTGCCAGAAACATGGTGACATTGTCACCCACTGTAGATGAGAAATTTAGCCAGTGCAGTATACAACTGCTAGTTTGGGGTCTTTAATGGGATACACGCGAGTCCTCAGCTAGCCTGCAGCGTGCGATGTCCTCAGCCCAGCACGCGCATGTGTGTCGCTTCGGGAAGCGAGCAAATCACGTGCCATACGCACGAACACTGAAAATGGAAC